GCCTTTTGATATTCACTCAATGCCTTGAGTGAATTTTCAAGTCCACTTATAATTATCCTGTTAAGTATCCTACAGGATACGCTACCGTGCAAAAGCCCATATATATTGCAGCGCCAGCATGAAAATACACAAGTGTTGAAAAATATAATCATAATATTGTTTAGTGAAACAATAATTATCGTCTTGCGTGAATTCTGAAGAATTTCCATTTCTACGAGATTTAAATGAAGAAATTGAGTAATATATATAAATTAGTTTATCTGCATATGTCACTGAAGTGTTCATTTTATCAACATATTATATTTGTATTGCTTTATTTCACATTAGATTGTCAGAAACAAATTGTACAATAAAATTCTGAACGGACCTAATAAATTTTTCTCTCTTTACACAACAGGATTTGAACTATTGTATCACATTCAAGAGACGGAGGACAACGAAGGCGGAGCATCAGCATCAATTTGACCGTGGAATATGAAGTCATAAACTCTTCATAGGTCATAAGGCGATGTGTGGTTCTGTGTGGTATTGTGTAATGTGTGATATGTGTGCTATATAATTAATATGTTTGTCTCTGTGTTGTTTGTGTGGTTGTATATAATGTGCGTGGCTGTTTAATATAATTCGCTGCGTGGTGTATGCAGCAGCTGGATGTGTGTGCATGGTTGTGTGATGTATGCCACACACACCACACAGCCACACAGCCACACAAGCCAAGATGTCACAAATTGAGATGCAACTCACAGGCCGCTGAGACAGATTGCTTTATGATTGCAGACCTCCACGCAATCCTTCCACGCAACCCCTCCACGCAATCCTTCCACGCAACCCCTCCACGCAACCCTTCCACGCAACCCTTCCTCGCAACCCTTCCACGCAACCCCTCCACGCAACCCTTCCACGCAACCCCTCCACGCAACCCCTCCACGCAACCCCTCCACGCAACCCTCAACGCAACCCTGTCGTGCAACTCCTCCACGCAAACTCCATGCAACCCCTCCACACAACCCTGTGGTGTAACCCCTCCGTGCAACCCTGTCGTGCAACCCCTCCATGCAACCCTGTCGTTCAACCCTTCCACACAATCCCACCTTTACAATTTACCCACCTTTACCTAATTTTTTACAAAAATCCGAAAAAATTTGCACACAATTTCGTTTTTCTCTCTCAAAATTGTGAAAAAAGTTACAACGGTTAACTCGTTATTTTAAAAAATTCCAAGTAACCTCATTTTGTGAAAATTTTTCGAAAAATCTCTGAAAAATGTATTATGAAAAAAATTAAATTCTGTCACAATTTACACAGGAACTTACCTTTAATATTATATTAGTATAACCTTTCCAAAGTGAATTTAATTTAATAACTTGTACTGTCCTGTAGATGTTTGGCTACTGATTTTAGGTACTTCAATGGTCACCAATAATTGAAGTAATTAATTTTACTATTTTTATTGATGTCTATTATTTATTATCATATTTTCTTTATTATTATTTCTTATCACTTTTCTCTGCAGTTTCACTGCGCGCGACTGCGATACACCGCCACTCACGAGCGCCCACAGCGCAGTGGCAACCGCCTGCCCGGCCAAGCCCTGACCCCGCATTCATCCCTCACCCATCATCCAACCCTCACCTCAAACCCGTGCCCCACGCTAACTTCACCCTCACCCCTCACCCATGCCTATACTCCTTCACCCATTTCCCTCATCCCTTACCCCTTCCCCTCCCTCCTCACCCATTTCACTCACCCCTCACCCATGTCCCTCCCTCCTCACCCTTTCCCCCACCAATCGATCACTAGGCACTGCAGCCTGCATGCACTGCAAATCACTGCACCTTGAGTTCACTGGGTCCACACATCAAACTATACAATGTGTGATGAGTATATACACGCTGGTGTATCATTTGTATTCATTCATGTATAATTTGTATACTGCAGTTTATGTATTAAAATACACAAGTTTCTGCCTCATGGCCGTTCGTGTCGCGTCGCGTCTCCATTAGCAATGGATTTGACAAATTAATGGACGATAATGGGAACATAGACAAAGATGATAATGGGACAAAGACGATAATGGGAATGATGATGAGACGATGACAAAGACGATAATGGGAATGGCAGTTAGGAATTGTCGTTTGCTGAAGTATTCACACCATGCCATTAGTGGGTGTCATAAAACCAATTAAATATTCAGGTATACCTTTAATTTAATTGAATGATTTTAAGTTAGTTATTGTTCTCATAGATAAAATGATATTAATTATTACATTTAATTCGTTCGCTCAACTATTCCTGAAATTGTGCATCCATTGCCAAAAACAAATTTTTAATTTAAAAAGTTTTAAAATATTTAATTTTTTTTATATTAGTCCCAATTTATATTCAAGTTTGAATGTATTCAAATATATTTTAATTTTTTATTCCAGTTTTAATTTAATTTTTCAATTTCTGATTCTTTTCGTGTTGTAATTTTTTATTTCAACTCCAATTTATTTATCAAGGTTTAATTTATTTATTCGAAATTAGATTTTTCATTTGTTCGTTTCTCATAATTTTTAGATAATTGGAAAAAAATCAATATACGTTGAAAAACAGCTTTTTACGTATCAGAAAAGGTAAAAACTCAATGATATTTCCAGCTAGTAAAAAATAAGTATTACTCAATATTTAATTACGGACCAAATAATATTAATTTTTGCGCTCTATTATAATAATATTTTATTATTAATTCCACACTTGCTTGAATGATTGCGAACGAGAAAATTACCTTACGACTTTCCGGCACAATACTTATTATTTTGAATATCAATAATCAACGACATTTAGCATTAATCAAACTATATTAATCGTTACTCAAAATGTATAACTGTTCTCGACTCACCACACTTGACTTTAGTCACCCCAATTCATCACCCCTATTTTCACTATAAGCTTCATTACATCACCATCTTTTTAACCCAAGTTTCGAGTCACATTCTCATATTAAATTTATCAGCAAAGTTGACTAGTCACCTGAATTTGCCTCCAATATTCATATGATTATTCATCACTAATGAATGACTGGCACGCATTCACGTATGGCAACCGATGATGGCAACATGTCATCACCCTGTCAACTCTTAGCTCACTTCACCGTCACCTTCATATATGATGAGCGAGCTGATCATATGTCGACAATGTGGCAACGCGGCCAATTATGCCAATAATTAATGGCAGTTTCTAGGTGGCAACACAAACATGTAGTCCAATTTATGGCACTGTATAGGTGGCACCGCATCCACTTAGTCCAATTAATGGCACCGTATAGGTGGCACCGCGTCCAATTAGTCCAATTAATGACACCGTATAGGTGGCACCGCGTCCAATTAGTCCAATTAATGGCACCGTATAGGTGGCACCGCGTCCAATTAGTCCAATTAATGGCACCGTATAGGTGGCACCGCGTCCAATTAGTCCAATTAATGACACCGTATAGGTGGCACCGCGTCCAATTAGTCCAATTAATGGCACCGTATAGGTGGCACCGCGTCCAATTAGTCCAATTAATAGCACCGTATAGGTGGCACCGCGTCCAATTAGTCCAATTAATAGCACCGTATAGGTGGCACCGCGATCAGTTAGTCTAATTAATGGCACTTTATAGTGTGGCACCGCGATCAATTAGTCCAATTAATGGCACCGTATAGGTGGCACCGCGATCAGTTAGTCTAATTAATAGCACTTTATAGTGTGGCACCGCGTCCAATTAGTCCAATTAATGGCACCGTGTAGGTGGCACTGGTGCCACCACAGCTCAGGTGGCAGTCGGTGGCAGGGCAGGCAGTACACTGTAGCTCCCCTCACTCTGCCAGTGTCTTATTCCTGCAAACTAACCCCCAATTCCCCTTCATCTTCACCCCTTCAATCCCCCCTCGACTAATTAGTGTTCTTATACTCCAGCTTCTTAATTGCACTCCCGCTACACCCCCGAATGTCCCCCATCGAACCCCCATTTCACCCCCATGGCTCCACCCCTTCCCCACCCCTTTCGAAGGGGACAGACTTCATTCGATTTCGTTTTCATTTTTCATTTTGTTTTCCCTGCGAAGGGCAAGCGACGCGCACGCAAATTAGCAAAAGTTTTTAATGGAAAAGTCAATTGTTTTCTTCAAGTCCCCCCGCCTCATTGTTTTTCAATTCTTTTTATTTTTTTGCGCCTAAAAAGTGTCAATGGAAAATCTTGAATCTTTATTAAATATTTTAGTGTCATTTCGGAATACATTAAAAAACAAATGACAATTTTTTAATTTTGAAAACGATTTCTTGTTATCTTACAGAATTTGGTATTTCGTATCTTAGTTAAGGTAACTAAATTAGAAATATTCGCTCTAAAATTAATTAGTCATGAGGTATCTGACTCTGACATTTATAATAATAATAATAATAATAATAATAATAATAATAATAATAATAATAATAATAATAACAATATACGCTACTGTTGGTCTGGTATACCTTCATACTACATGAGGCTATAAAGATTCTATTGCGTCAGCAATAGAATACGTTTAATAACAATATACGTTTATAACAATATACGTTAACATGATATTTGGACACCCCTATATACGTTTAATAACAATAATAATATTGATAATAATAATAATGATAATAAAATACCCGCTGTAATTATCTTACGATTATTCCAGCCCATTTTCTTAACTATCTCTAAAGTCATAACAATCCTAACCATCATAATTATCAGTCAGGACCTAGTCTTTTATACTAAATGCGTTAATCAGTTTTTTTTGTCTCGTAAAAATTATATTAACAAAATTTTTATTAACATTACAATCGAAATTAGTTTTAATATTGTATTGGAAAAGCTTAACTATTTCGGAAAAATTTAAATTCGGCATTTGCTGGGAAACATAATTGCGAAGATGTTTGCTGGTCATCTTTGCCATTAACTTAATTAATAATTAAGAAATTAAGGGATTGATATTATCTACTTATTCGGGATGACGGGGTTCGGGATGACGGGGTTCGGGATGACGGGGTCCGGGATGACGGGGTCCGGGATGACGGGGTCCGGGGTGACAGGGTCCGGGATGACGGGGTCCGGGATGACGGGGTCCGGGATCACGGGGTCCGGGATGACGGGGTTCGGGATGACGGGGTTCGGAATGGCAGGGTTCGGGATGGCAGGGTTCGGGATGACGGGGTTCGGGATGGTGGGGTTCAGGATGACGAGGTTCGGGATGACAGGGTCCGGGATGACGGGGTCCGGAATGACGGGGTCCGGGATGACGGGGTCCGGGATGACGGGGTTCGGGATGACGGGGTCCGGGGTGACGGGGTTCAGGATGACGCAATTCAGGATGACAGGGTCCGGGATGACGGGGTTGGGGATGACAAGGTTGGGGATGATAGGGTTTGGGATGACGGGGTTCGGGATGACGGGGTTCGGAATGGCAGGGTTCGGGATGGCAGGGTTCGGGATGACGGGGTTCGGGATGACAGGGTTCGGGATGACAGGGTTCGGGATGACAGGAATCGGGATGACGGGGTCCGGGATGACGAGGTTCGGGATGACAGGGTTCGGGATGACAGGGTTCGGGATGACAGGGTTCGGGATGACGAGGTTCAGTATGACATCCAGGGTTAAGGATAACGGGGTTCGGGATGACGAGGTTCGGGATGACAGGGTTCGGGATGACGGGGTTCGGGATGACAGGGTTCAGGATGCCAGGGTTCGGGATGACAGGGTTCGGGGTTCGCCTCAGGCAAACGGCAGGCAAGTCGTCGAAGTCTTCCCATTTTTTCTGGCGCTGCAACAGAAAATGTTGCGAGCTTCCCGAGGCTGGGGGAGGCGGGGAGGTGGAAAAGAAGGGGAGGGAGGCGGTGGAAAGAGGAGGCGGAGGCTGAGGGAAGTACAGAGGTGAGGCTGGAGGAGGTGGAGGGAGGAGAATGTGGCTGTTTTTCTTGCTGCTGTGGCTGTTTTTGTTGCTGTTGTTGCTGTTTTTGTTGCTGTTGTTGCTGTTTTTGTTGCTGATGTTTTAGTGATTTTGTAGTAATCATTTAAATAATTCAAGTAATTGAACAGAATTAATCTGATTCATGTAAAAATTCCCAACAAAAAGTGTTTGCCGTTCATACACATACAAACTACAGCGAATAATTCATTTACATAAATTCAGCAACTCACGAGGGTGAAATCGACCCTATTGAAAATATTCACCGAAATTGGATCCGACTTGCTGCTCAAGTTTTTCCGAGGGGAAATTGCGCGTCCATCTTATCCGAGGGACGTAAATTTCCCTCATCTTATCGGGAGAGAATTTTTAGGCCTAAAAATAGCCTGGTTCTGCTGGCGCTCTGCGCAGGAATGAGGCCGCCCTTCCCTCATTTTATTCGTAGGCCTACAGGCATAGGCCTCCTATCACGCCGAGTCTCTGGTGTCCCGGCATTTTCTGTTTCTTTTCCCTCATCTTCCCTCACTCTCACCCCTCCCTCCTTTCCCGGCCTGCCCTTCCTTCTCTAGGCCCACTCCACCCCTCCCTTCGCACCTGGGAACTACTACCCTCCATCTCTCTATAGACTTACCCTCCTTCTCTCCTTAGACCTACCCTCCCTCTCTCCTTAGACCTACCCTCCCTCTCTCCTTAGACCTACCCTCCCTCTCTCCTTAGACCTACCCTTCCTCTTTCCTTAGACCTACCCTCCCTCTCTCCTTAGACCTACCCTCCCTCTCTATAGGCCTTCCCTCCCTCTCTCCTTAGACCTACCCTCCCTCTCTCCTTAGACCTACCCTCCTCTCTCCTTAGACCTACCCTCTCTCTTTTTAAGCCTAACCCTTCATCGTTTTCCCCCATTTCCCTCAGTTATTAGAGATGGCAACACTGCCCTCGGTCAGTGCAGTTGCCAAAAGTCGCCACTCGCTTCAATTTTTTGCCGCTGTATCGACTGGAAGATTATTCGGAGCCTCTTCCATGCCGCGGAGAACTCGTGGCTTCTGTGATTCTTTTTAAAGCCTAAATGCCTGCTTCCCGCTATCTTATTTTTATCTAAGTTATTTAGTTTTTCCGTCGCTTGATTGTACATATATAGCCATAGAATATAAAAAGATAATTTATATCTATTCTGATCAACTGAAGAATCTGGATGGAACAAAACATTGTTAGTAATTTCCTCCAGCCTGTGAGTCCCCCAGACTTGGTCCCTCAGACTTGTTCCCCCAGACTTGTTCCCCCAGACTTGTTCCCCCAGACTTGTTCCCCCAGACTTGTTCCCCCAGACTTGTTCCCCCAGACTTGTTCCCCCAGACTTGGTCGTCATGGCAACGCTGGGATCAGCAGAGTTTCTGACAAACAAGAAACTTTTCTCGTCAACTTTGTTCTTTTGTTCAAGACTTAATTTCGTCTTCGGCTAGTCTATTACTCAAGACTTTTATATGGATTATGTTTATTACTAAATGAAAAAACTTGGTATTTTTATTTGAAACAAACAACCTCTCAAAAATGAAAAATTATCCATTAAAAATAAATGAAAATAATTCTAAAGAAGAAAAGTTATCGTTAAGCAAAACAATGCGTTACTATACAGACTTCATTATAGAAAAGAAGAGCCGTGCGTGACTACAGACTTCAGCATAGATAAGAGACTTCATTATAGATAAGAAGGACGATACGTCAAGCTATTGCGTCGTCCGTATTAACGTAATTGCGTCGTCGCAATTTCGTCTCCTGAAATGAACGCGGCACAAATAAGCCCCAAAAAAAATAGTCGCATAAAAAGCACATAAAAATAACAGTTTTGCCGACAACAAAGGCAGGCGGAGCGTCCACGCGCACTGAGAATTTAACAGGCGATATTTTATTTAACAGGCGATATTATTTTGTGTAGATAATTAACAACTCTACGGCTAAATAATTAGTGATACTTAATTAATACTATTTTATCAATTTATGTTGGGTTGAGTTTTTAATAACGTCTATGTGACTGAATTGACACCAATTATATTTAAAAAAAATAATTCACGGGGTCGAGAATTTTTTAATGAATCTTGCCGACTCATTCACTGAATAGCGTCTTCACATTCATCAAATGCTGGCTTATATCTTGAATATTCTGGAACCTCTATTCATACCCATGGTGAATAATGGGTTTATTCATCATGAAATAGTGATGAATATGAACGCAGTCATAGGGGGCGTGGCTAAGTCCCCTCCAGGCGTGGCCTGGAGACTGAGGCGGGATTGCAGGATCACGAAACCTGGAATTTCGTAGGACTTCGTGATGAATTTTCCGGCAAAAACCGACCAATCCTGCGGCTAATGAACGTGGATTCACTGCCTGGGTTATTAAATATCTCTTAGCATTAAAAGATTTAACAATACAGTTCCATAAAACTAATACCGAATTATTTAATATAGTTTAATGAGTTCATTACTTTATATTTTTTTATTTACAATTATTTTTTATATGATGTGTTGTTTACCGGAAAAAGAAATAAATTCATATTATGAATTTCATCGTTTATATGAGCGCAGTTTTTAAACACTCTTAACCACGCATGCTTTATTCCCCACCAAATGTTTATTCTTCTGCTAAACTTGCAGATTTTAAACAAGATTTTACTACAAAAGATTTTATTGCGTAACATGCCGTATAATGTCGAAAGTTTGACGTCATTATACGGTTAATAAAAGAAAATACTGTAAGATAATTTTAATTAATAAAATCAATTAATTACATAATTACTTTTAATTAATAAAAGCAAGTTACTGAAACTGTAATTAAGTATACGGTGTTTGGAACGAAGATTTCGTTAACCGCGGCTCGGGAATTCCTTCAGAATACTTTACTAAAACAGGACCTTCATTCATCTGGAATGAATAAGTTATTTTAAAATACAGACAAATAATTTCTTAACATTTCTTCAAATGGAGAGAATTCATTCTTGAAACTCAAAAGAATTACTTCAAAATTCTAGAGTCCAACTGAGAATGCATGAATTTCGTCATCTAATTCTGCAGCAGAGTTATAGTAATTTTGATGTATTTAAAGTATTAGTAGTTTTATTAAGTATTTAAAATATATGTTGTATTATTATATATTTAAATTATACGTAGTATCATTACGTATTGAAAGTATTATTAGTTTTATTGCGTATTTAAAGTATATGTTGTATTAATATTTACTTAAATTATATGTAGTATATTATTGCTTATTTAAAGAACATGTTGTATTATTAATTAAAAAGAAAACAATATCTCCACAGTATTTTTAACTGATCGATAACAATCTATATCCTAATTGCAGTAATCCGTAGATTATCTTCAGCTTGTCTGCAGTATTCTACACCAGATTAAGAAATATCAGTATAGAGTACGTGATCTACAGCGTATTTTAGAAGCTCCAGCATATGTAGCATGATATAGGATATACCACATATATGAAGCAAGCTGCAGCATATGTAGGGTGATATAGGATATACCACATGTATGAAGCAAGCAGCAGCATATGTAGGGTGATCTACCACATGTATGAAGCAAGCAGCAGCATATGTAGGATGATCTACCACATATATGAAGCATGCAGCAGCATATGTAGGATGATCTACCACATGTATGAAGCAAGCAGCAGCATATGTAGGGTGATCTGCCACAATATGTAGCAAGCTGCAGCATATGTAGGATGATCTACCACATATATGAAGCATGCAGCAGCATATGTAGGGTGATCTACCACATGTATGAAGCAAGCAGCAGCATATGTAGGGTGATCTACCACATATATGAAGCCGGTAGCAGCATATGTAGGGTGATCTACCACATGTATGAAGCAAGCAGCAGCATATGTAGGGTGATCTACCACATGTATGAAGCATGCAGCAGCATATGTAGGGCGATCTACCACATATATGAAGCATGCAGCAGCATATGTAGGGTGATCTACTACATAAAGATGAAGCATGCAGCAGCACATGTAGGGTGATCTACCACATATATGAAGCATGCAGCAGCATATGTAGGGTGATCTACCACATATATGAAGCATGCAGCAGCATATGTTGGGTGATCTACCACATATATGAAGCATGCAGCAGCATGTACAAAAAATCATGTATAGAGCAACAAGACAATAAGAAGAAGCGGCGCCTGAACAGACGCGAGATCTTTTGTCCATGTCAGGTAGCCACGTATTTGCATATCTATTTTACACTACACTGAACCATGCTCAGTGTAGTGTACATGATCAATACACTGAACCATGCTCAGTGTTGTGTACATGATCAGTACACTGAACCATGCTCAGTGTTGTGTACATGATCAGTACACTGAACCATCCTCAGTGTTGTGTACATGATCAACACACTGAACCATGCTCAGTGTTGTGTACTGAATTTTAAATGAAGAAGAAAGTTGGAAAAACTATTTTCATTTAAATTAATTCATGTTTTACGCCTCGCCAAGAATTTCATGCCAGCTGGTCCTTTTCTATGATTTAGATATGATATGAATTAGATATGAATTAGATATGAATTAAATATGAATCAGATATGAATTTAATATGAATTAGATATGATTTATATAGGTATGATTTAGATATGAATTATATAAGAATTAGATATGAATTAGATCTGAATCAGATGTGAATTATATGTGAAATAAATATGAATTAGATATGAATTATATATGAATAAGATATGAATTGAATTAGATATAAATTAGGTATGAATTAGATATCAATAATATATTAATTAAATATGAATTAGATATGAATTAGATATGAGTAAAATATTAATTTGATATGAATCACAAACGAATTAAATATGAATTATATATGAATTAGATATGAATTAGATTTGAATTAGATTTAAATTAGATATTAATTAGATATGAAGTAGATTTGAATGAGATATGAATTATATACGAATTAG